AATGATGGGAGGCGATTTTGAGGCAATCGTGAAACCGGCCGATGGCTGGTTTGATGTTTTGGGTGAGGTGTACAGTTGCAATGAATGGGGCGTCGTCTCGTACGAGCCAATGGCAACAGGGTAAAAAAATAGCTTGACACTAATTGACTTTTTGAATCAAGAGGGCAAAACAATTTATGTTGCAAAACTTTCACACAATTTTGAAAAAACTAAATCTTGAAAATGGCCCATACTACAAACTTTGAAATAGTTCTGTAGGGGCCTAATGTGTCAATTTGAAAATAATTTACCTTCAAACGACCTAAGACCCTAGGCTGAACAATGTATTAAAGTTTTGTGGCAAATCAGAAGTTTTTTGTGCAAACGGGAGCAAATTTAATTGTTGGTCAAAACGGCCAAAAAAATGTCCCATTTTGCCTTCCCGCTGCACCAACAATGTTCCCGGATCAAAAATCCCTGAGTTCATTTTGGAAGTTCATGCGTTGAGATGTGTGGAGCGATTATTGGAGGCGAATCGGTGAAAAACCCCCGTGAGAGTCCGCTTTTCCAACCGACATGTATTATAACTTTGAGTTAATTTTTCCATTTTGCACAGTGGAAATAATATGGGCTTCCTGTTCGCAGAGGGCGGGCCATAATAATATTTTTTTCTTGTCTGACTTGAGGAATCATGTGTACCGAATTTCATGTTCTACGACAAACTTGACCGCGCGAAAAGTCCCATAGGGTCTTATTTTGGCTGTTGTAAGGGTGCGGCTGGTTGCGTCATGTTTGAGTCCATAAAAAATAAACACCAAATATCATTTTTCACCAGGTCTGATTTTGGGCCAAAATTAACACTTTTCCATGGCCTGTTCAGAGGGGACCAAATTAAGGCCAAAGGTGCAGAAGAAACAAGAAAGAAAGAAAGAAAGAATAAATAAATAAAAAAGGAATTGTTTGTTAACTTAGGTCTCGAGCAAAACAATATAGGTTTCAATGGCATGTGATACATCATTTTAAAGCGTTTGAGTTTACGCACGCAACCGTCACGTTTTGGTGAGTGGACGGGGCGCTGACGGCGGTCCGTCACGCACCGCCACCATTTGTTTCACCATTGTGAAAGCAATAGGCCCTTACCCCGTTTCGGGTCTCGGGCCTAAAAAAGGAATTTATTTTTTAACCGTCTCGAGCAAAACAATATAGGTTTCAATGGCATGTGATTACATCATTTTAACAGCTTTGGAGTTTACGCACGCAACTGCACAGTTTTGGTGAGTGACGGGCGCTGACGCGAAGCCGTCACGCACCGCCCCAATTGGTTTTCACCATTGTGAAAGCAATAGGCCCATAACCCGTTCGGGGCTTCGGGCCTAAATAAATAAATTAAAGCCGCCAAGCGCGTCAAAACGGGGCCCTCGCCGCACCGCGCTGAAGCCCCCGCACACCGCGCGCAACCACCCCTTCCACGCCGCCCCGCACCAAGCCACCCACCACCAACCCATCCCCGCACCAAGCCAACCCCGCTCCACGCCGGGTCCCGCATAAACGCCGACCGCCCGCACCATGCCCAACGCACCAAGCCCAACGCACCGCTCCAACAACGCGCCCGCAACAAAGAACGCACGAACGTCCACCACAACCGTACCACACCAGCACCGCGCATAGGAGTGTCGCCGCCGTGAGAGATTGGTTCCCGTAGCCATAGAAAACTTAGTCCAATTGTAATGATCTGATAGTAGAGGCTGGTTTGGGGCACCCCATGTAAACTTTGAATCAGTCTGTAGGGGCGCTAATGGGCCAATTTCAAATATGTCACTTCCACCTGACCTAAACCTGGAGTTGAACAATGGGATTCAAGTTTAATGCAAAATCAGAACTTTGTTTGTACAAACGGGAAAAAAAATAATGTTGCAAAAACGGCCAAAAAAAACCATCACATTTTGCCGCTCACAAGCTCCTGCCCGCTGCACAACACAAACGTTCACTATTAAAATTCCCGAAGTTCATTTGGAAGGTAAATGTGTTGAATGATTTGGAACATTTTGAGGCCATCGGTGAAACGGCGGTACACATGTTCTTCAAGTCAAGATACGACCGAAATGTTATCATGGCTCCGCCCTCTGACAAACAGGAGGCCCATAAATTTCACTGCAAAATGGAAAAATGAACAGCAATCATTTTCATACATGTCGGTTGGAAAGCGACTCCTCCTCGGCCGTTTCACCGATTGGCCTCAAAATCGCTCCACATCATCTCAACACATGTACCTTCAAAATGACCTCAGGGATTTTTGATCAGTGAAACATTGTTTGAGCAGCGGAGCGGCAAAATGTGACATTTTTTTGGCCGTTTTTGACAACATTAAATTTGCTCCCGTTTGCACAAACAAAGTCTGATTTGCACAAAACTTTAATACATTGTTCAACTCTAGGGTCTAGGTCGTTTGAAGGTGAATTATTTCAAATTGACACATTAGCGCCCCCTACAGACTATTTAAAAATTTTAGATGGGCATTTTCAAATTTAGTTTTTTCAAAATGTTTGAAATTTTGGACATACATCTGTTTTGCCCTCTTGATTCAAAAAGTCAATTGGGTCCAAGGCTTATTTTGTACCCTGTTGCCATGGCAACGAGAAACGCTCCCCATTCATTGCAAATGTACACCTCACACAAACATCAAACCAGCCTCGGCCGTTTCACCGATTCGCCTCAAAATCGCTCCACATCATCTCAACACATGTACCATCAAAATGACTTCAGGGAATTTTGATCAGTGAAACGTTGTTTGAGCAGCAGAGCGCAAAAAAAGTGGCGTATTTTTTTTCAGTTTTTGACAATAGAAAAATTGTTTCCGTTTGCACAAACAAAGTGTGATTGGCACAAAACTTGAATCCATGGTTCAACTCTTGGGTCTAGGTCAATTGAAAGTTCAAATTTTGAAATTGGCTCTATAGCGCCACCTACAACAGCCAATTTAAAAATGCCTATGGGAGGGGTTCAAGGTCAAAATTGCCGTAGAACCATGTAATTTGGTACACATGTTCCTCAAGTCAAGACATGGAAAAAATGTTATTATGGATAAGCCCTCTGACAAACAGGAAGGCCATAAATTTTATTGCAAAATGGAAAAATGAAAACCAATCTTTTTCATACACGTCGGTTGGAAAGCGACTCCTCCTCGGCCGTTTCACCGATTGGCCTCAAAATTGTTCCAAATCATCTCAATCCATTTACCTTCAAAATGACTTCAGGGAATTTTGATCAGTGAAACGTTGTTTGAGCAGCCGAGTGGGAAAATGTGAGGTTTTTTTTGGCTCTTTTTGACAACATTAATTTTGCTCCTGTTTGCACAAACAAACTCTAATTTGCACAAAACTTTAATCCATTGTTGAACTCCAGGGTTTAGGTCTGGTTAAAGTGAAATATTGGAAATTGGCCCATTAACTTCCCCTACAGACTCTGTCAAAGTTTACATTGGGAGCCAAACCAGCTCTACTTATCATATTCATTACGATTTGACTAACATGCTTCTATGGCTACGGGAACAAATCATCACACGGCGGTGCCACCACCTTTGAGCAGTGCTGCGTGATACGGTGTGGTGCGGCGTAGTGCGGGGCGTTGTGGAGCGGCGCGTTGCGGCTTGGTGCGGGGCGGCGTGGTGCGGGACGGCATGGTGCAGGGCGGCTTGGTGCGCGGCGGCGTGGTGCGGGGAGTGCGCGCGGTGCAGGGAGTCGCGCGGTGCGGCGAGGGCCGTTCGACGCCGCTTGCGGCTTTAATTATACTTGTTCTAGCCCAGGAAAACCTGGGAAAGAACAAGTTTGCTGTTGTTTGATGTCATATTTGACCCACTGAACATGCACGAAAACTTACAAAATTTTGCCACAAGTTCTGTTCTTGCAAACACTTTATTAATTTTGTGTTCCCTAGTAAGAGACTTCAAATTTGAAGTTGTAGGGGGCGCAATTGTAGTCTAATAAAGCCACCATTTGCACATACAAAGTCCGATTTGCACCAAATTTGAATTGGTTGTTCAACTTTTGGGTTTGGGTAAACTGAAAGTGTAAAACATCAAATTGAGGCATTAGCGCCCCCTACAGAATGTCATTTTCACACATGTTGGTTGGAAAGCGACTCCTCCTCGGCCTTTTCACTGATTTGCCTTAAAATCGCTCCACATCGTCTAAACACATGTACCATCATTTTGATTTCAGCGATTTTTGATCAGTGAAACGTTGTTTGAGCAGCGAAGCGCCAAAAAGTGGCGTTTTTTTTTTAGTTTTTGACTATAGAAAAATTACTTCCGTTTACTCAAACAAAGTCCGATTTGCACAAAACTTGTTTTCATGGTTAAACTCTAGGGTGTAGGTCATTTGAAAGTGAAATAATTAAAATGCCAGAACAGCGCCCCCTACAACAGCCAATTTAATACTCCTATGAGAGTTTTTGAGTTCAAGTTTGCCGTAGAGCCATGAAATTTGGTACACATATTCCTCAAGGTAAGACATGAAAAAAATGTTATTATGGCCCCGCCCTCTGACAGACAGGGAGCCCATAAATTTCACTGCAAAATGGATAAACGAACAGCAATAATTTTCACACATGTCGTTTGGGAAGCGACTCCTCCTCGGCCGTTTCACAGATTCGCCTGAAAATTGCTCCACATCATTTCAACACATTTACCTTCAAAATGACTTCAGGGAATTTTTATCAGGGAAACGATGTTCGAGCAGTGGAGCGGCAAATAGTGACCTTTTTTGACGATAGAAAAATAGCTCTCGTTTGCACAAACAAAGTTTGATTTGTACTAAACTTGACCCGGTTGTTCTACTCCTGGGCCTGGGTCACCTGAAGGTGTAAAATATTACATTGGCTCTTTAGCGCCCCCTACATACCGAGCTAAACCTTTACATGGGGAGCCAAACCAACGGATCAATATCACATACATTGGTCTATGGCTATGGTAGCAAATCATGGCGCGGCGGCGCCACCTGCTGAGCGGCGAGTCACGCGGGGAGTCACGGGGAGGGGAATTGCGGGTTGCGGCGAGTTGCGGCGAGTTGCGCGGTACGGGGAATCCTAGCGATGCGGGGAGTCGTAGTGCTGCGGGGAGTCGTAGCGCTGCGGAGAGTCGTAGCGCTGCGGAGAGTCGTAGCGGTGCAGGGAGTCGTAGCGGAGCGGGGAGTCGTAGCGGCGCGCGGTGCAGGGAGTCGTAGCGGAGCGGGGAGTTGTAGCGGCGCGCGGTGCGGGGAGTCGTAGCGGTGCGGGGAGTCGTAGCGATGCGGGGAGTCGTAACGGTGCGGGGAGTCGTAGCGGTGCGCAGTGCGGGGAGTCGTAGCGGAGCGCGGTGCGGGGAGTCGTAGCGGAGTGGGGAGTCGTAGCGGAGCGGGGAGTTGTAGCGGAGCGGCAAGGCGCGTGGTGCGGGGTGTCGCGCGGTGTGGCGAGGGCCGTTCGACGCCGCTTGCGGCTTTAATTTCTTTCTTTCTTTCTTTTTTCTTCTGCACTTTGAGCCTTAATTTGACCCCCTGAACATGCATGAAAAGTTGTTAATTTTGGCCCAAAAATCAGACCTGGCGAAAAATTTGATATTTTGGTGTTTATTTTTATGGGACTCAAAAAATGACAGAACAGCGCCACCTACAACAGCCAAAATAATACCCCTATGGGACTTTTCGGAGGTCAAGTTTGTCGTAGAAACATGAAATTTGGTACACATGTTCCTCAAGTCAAGACATGAAAAAAATATTATTATGGCCCCGCCCTCTGACGAACAGGAAGCCCATAAATTTCACTGCAAAATGGAAAAATGAACAGCAAAAGTTTTCATACATGTCGGTTGGAAAGCGACTCCTCCTCGGCCGTTTCACCGATTCGCCTCAAAATCGCTCCACATCATCTCAACGCATGTACCTTCAAAATGACCTCAGGGATTTTTGATCAGTGAAACATTGTTTGAGCAGCGGAGCGGCAAAATGTGACCTTTTTTTGGCCGTTTTTGACAACATTAAATTTGCTCCTGTTTGCACAAACAAAGTCTGATTTGTACAAAACTTTGATACATTGTTTAACTCTAGGGTCTAAGTCATTTGAAAGTAAATTACTTCAAATTGACACATTAGCGCCCCCTACAGACTATTTCAAAGTTTTAGATGGGCATTTTCAAATTTAGTTTTTTCAAAATGTTTGAAATTTGGCACATAAATCTGTTTTGCCCTCTTGATTCAAAAAGTCAATTGGGTCCAAGGCTTATTTTTTACCCTGTTGCCGTGGCGACGAGAAACGCTCCCCATTCATTGCAAATGTACACCTCACACAAACATCAAACCAGCCTCGGCCGTTTCACCGATTCGCCTCAAAATCGCTCCACATCATCTCAACACATGTACCATCAAAATGACTTCAGGGAATTTTGATCAGTAAAACGTTGTTCGAGCAGCGGAGCGCCAAAAAGTGGCGTATTTTTTTTCAGTTTTTGACAATAGAAAAATTGTTTCCGTTTGCACAAACAAAGTGTGATTGGCACAAAACTTGAATCCATGGTTTAACTCTTGCGTCTAGGTCATTTGAAAGTTTAAATTTTGAAATTGGCTCTATAGCGCCACCTACAACAGCAAATTTAAAAATGCCTATGGGATGGGTTCGAGGTCAAAATTGTTGTAGAGCCATGTAATTTGGAACACATGTTCCTCAAATCAAGACATGGATAAAATGTTATTATGGCTAAGCCCTCTGACAAACAGGAAGCCCATAAATTTAATTGCAAAATGGAAAAATGAAAACCAATCATTTTCATACACGTCGGTTCGAAAGCGACTCCTCCTCGGCCGTTTCACCGATTGGCCTCAAAATTTTTCCAAATCATCTCAACACATTTACCTTCAAAATTACTTCAGGGAATTTTAATCAGTCAAACGTTGTTTGAGAAGCGGAGCGGCAAAATGTGAGGGTTTTTTTGGCCGTTTTTGACAACATAAATTTTTTTCCCGTTTGCACAAACAAAGACTGATTTGCATTAAACTTGAATCCATCGTTCAACTCCAGGGTTTAGGTGAGGTGAAAGTGAAATATTCGAAATTGGCCCATTAGCGCCCCCTAAAGACTGATTCAAAGTTTACAGGGGGGGCCAAACCAGCTCTACTTATCATATTCATTACAATTTGACTAAGTTCTTCTATGGCTACGGGAACCAATCATCACACGGCGGCGCCACCTCCTATGCGCGGTGCTGCGTGGTACAGTGTGGTGCGGCGTAATGCGGGGCGTTGTGGAGCGGTGCGTTGCGGCGTGGTGCGGGGCGGCGTGGTGCAGGGCGGCGTGGTGCAGGGCGGCGTGGTGCAGGGCGGCGTGGTGCAGGGCGGCATGGTGCGGCTTGGTGCGGGGAGTGCGTGCGGTGTGGCGAGGGCCGTTCGACGCCGCTTGCGGCTTTAATATTATTATTATTATTCCCCCCACTGTAGGAGCCAATACACTTTTCAATATTTTTGAATTCTGAGCGTTTCCAATTGTATTTAAAAATGGGAAACCTAATTAAACAATCATGAATTGAGCTTTTCCGATCTTATTTTACACTGATTCCTTTGATCATTTTTTTCTTAAAGCTCAAGTTGTAAAAATGCTATGTTTGAATTGGTTATTTACATTTTAACTGTGAGTGACACGTAAGGCGGGACAACAATGCACAATGACGCACGCATTCTGAATAGAATAATATGTATTAATATCTCTAAAACTAAAAGAGCATATTCAAGTTTTACAACAAAAACGACATCATATGCGTGTCCATTATGCGTAAAAGCACAGTGCCCTCAGCAAAACCACGTATTTGGAAAAACTATAGGCTAACAGATGTAGTAGCTCTAGTTTCAATCGTCCTCATTTTATTCAGTCAGACTTGTCAAATATAGATGCCCATGGGAGAGTGAGCAAGGGGAGATAACATGCCCATAACATGCCCAAAAATATCCTGCATAGACTCAAGCTGCGATCAGCTGAAATATGAGCACACAAAGAGCGAGAGGGAAAAAGAAAAGTAAATAGGCTTAGGCTAGTTAGTATTTTTTCTCTCACAAAAGTTGGCACGGATCATATGCCATCTTTCGTGGAGGAGGAAACATCAAACATCAAAGGGCGCACGCGGGGAACAGCGGGACTAGTCTCGTTGTTGAAGTCCCGATGTTCCCCCACTTCTATTGGCGGGGGAACATCGGACCCGGGGAACATCGGGACTTTTTAATACGCGAAGTACCGATGTTCCCCGGGTCCGATGTTCCCCCGCCTATAGAAGTGGGGGAACATCGGACCCGGGGAACATCGGACCCGGGGAACATCGGTACGCACCCCAGTGAAGCAGAGGACACAGGATGTGGCGAAGTCCTTGTTTCTTCTCATGAGCAGGCTGAGTTCGTCCATCTTATTGCCCAGTGAGCGTACGTTGGAGAGAAAAATGCCGGGGAGAGCCGTGCGCGCTCCTCTCCTCCTCAGACGCACGAGCAGGCCTCCGCGCTTTCCCCTTTTATGGGCCCACACTTTTTTGGCTAGAACATGAACTAAATCAGCCGCAGATGCCAAAAAAACAGGCAATAGGTCCATGGGAACGGTGGGTCGGATGCTCATAAGTTCCTCACGGGTGTAGGAACAGCCAGATGCACAGTTAAAAAGTAAAAACAAAAGAAAAAGAGAGCCGCAAAGAGCCATGTCGACCGTACGAGGCGCCATCTTATTGCATACCACAACACTGCTTCCTCAACAACATCCTTATCGAGCCACGTGAAAAAATGCACCAACAGCAGCAGCGAAAATGGAAACTGAAACTAGAGCTTCGCCTGGTTTTGTTGAGACAAACGAAGGAGTAAAATTCTCCTCTGTGTAGCGCTTGAAGCACACGAACCTAGTTACCGCTACATTACCGTTACATTTGTTTTCAGCTACTGCGCATGCCTAAATGTTCGTGTGGGGAGCAGAGGAGAAGTGGGGGTCAGAGCAGACAGAGAATTCACACCTTTTTCTTCAGGCCGGTGTGAAAGAGTGCCTAACTCTTACGTTTTCACCCCCTGGAACACAGTCTCCATGTAACGGGAGGTAGCAACCAACATCCAACTATAGGGTTTTACTGCAGCGTCTCTGTCTAAACGGGGCCTTAGTGGGTGCTTTGCATGCACGGACTGGAGCATTTTCCACAACTTGGAATGAAATGAAGCCACAGAGACCATCACAGATTACATTCACTTACTGTATACGTGGACTCAGTTGTCCCTAAAATGGACATTGTGCACTTTCCAAACAATACACAGACAAGTTGCGGAGGAGGAAAACAGCTGGCCACTCCCTAGATCTGCAATACGCTACCAAAGCGTATTAGTGCCCTAACTTGTCATTCATGACCATCATAAGGCCAACCCAAAGCACATAACAGAAAATCACAAATGCCACTGGAAACTCAAAACAGGTGGAAATTACAAGAGAGGTGAAAATCATCAATAAAAAGCGACTTGCTTTTAGAAACAAGGACAGAGCAGCCGCTGCCACAGCTCAGAAGGAGCTAAATGTGCTTCTTGCAGGGAAAGGGAGCGCTTGGAGGGGAGTTTTGACTCCAAGGATAATAAAAAACTTAAAAGATAACATGCATGAACACAAACAAACAACAATTGATAACGATGCATGATGTGGAGTGTGCTCATAATTCAAATGAATTTTTTTCTGAGATTTGACAAACAGAATGATTGTGCAGGACATGTTGACTTTGTTTTAGATTCAAACAGCCATGGAATTAATCAGCAGTGTGTCTAAGTCATTATAAAAGCAGGAAGGGCTTCATTTCATTCCAAGGCAGGGACTGGGCCCAACTGATGCAATTCTAAACACATAGAGAACCCAAATGGCTCTGCTCGTGTTCTACTTGCTAATTTTTTTGTCAGCTTTTGACAGGCTTTTTCTGGGACATCTATTTAGATGCTTTATGCAAAAAACTGTCTCAGAGGCTTCACTTCCTCAGGAGACTCAAACTGTTTGGTGTGAGCTACAGTATCATGACTTGATTCTATAACGCCATTCTTGAGAGTCTGATCAGATACGGCATGGTTGCCTGGTTTGGTTCCCTAACTGTCGAATGTAAATCTAAAATTAAGAAGCTTGTTAAAAGTGCTATGAAAATCTTAGTGAGGAAGGAATATCCCTCCTTGCAATCCACTTTTGAAGTGTCCGCTCTGGCACAAGCAAAAAGTATAATCGAGCAGCCTTCTCATGTACCGCACGTACATACAAGCTTTTCCCACAAGGAGGCGCTATTGTGCTTTTAGGCACTGAAGCAACAGATTAACATTGTCTTTGGTTCCAGCATTACTCTGCTCAATGAAAGCAGGTAACTTGAATACTCTTCTCGCTCGGGCAGGTACAGGCTCTTTAGCTCTCATGTTTCTCCTGTTTTTGAAATCGGGCTTCTTCATACTTCTTAATCTGCTCTGCATTAGCATCATAGTCATTGTATCCACTTTGTTTCGTATTGTGCAAACACTATTTTTTCTGTGTCTTACTAGTGTGT